GTCTGCCTAGTCTCTGTTCATTCATTCACCCAATGTTATGAGATGCAATTGTGGAGAGAAGAGTGAAAGGGTCAAAAAAGTAGGTTGACCCTTAAAATTTGCCCGAAATTCAACTATATTACCCCAACTATTTTTTGAAGGAAAAAAATTGGTCCTGAAACCTATCAAGAAAGTTGCAATGTATCCTTCCTTCAATCTCCTCCGAATTTTTTGCAAACAAATATTATATATCCAGAAGAGGTAAATAAGAAAAAATAGGGGAGAGAAGACAAAGGTTGATGTCAAATTTCCCTCTTAAACAACACAATAAAATTTTTATTTGAACAAATAAGAAAAATAACAGAAAAGATATACTTCACCAATTTTGACTGTAAGGATTAATTTGGCAGAATATTAATTTAAGGGGCCTAATATAATTGTGAATAAAGTATGCGGGATAACCTTGAACTCATACAATGTTGGTTTATTTATGATGTAAAATGTCGCACTTGAGTGAACGTTGGAATAGTTGTAATGGTGGGAAAATCATCCTAATCTAATGAATAATGATGATCACTAAAGAAAAGGACCAGGATTAGAACCAAACTTTAGCATTGTTTGGAGGGTATCACCCTTTTTGTGAAAAGCATTGGTCATTGAGATTTAGAAGGAATATAATTTTCATAAAACCTACTTTTCCTTGTCTTATCTAAAGTCACTTTGACAGCTAAGGATTCAATAGTTCAGGAATCAATTCATTTCATGGTTTGAGTACTCATAATCAAGAAGTTGGGTCTACTTAAATTGCGATACGCTTAATTATAGAGATGATATCGATAATTTAAGATTAGGTCTGAATTTTCTCAAAAGAGTAGCTCACTTTGAAATCAAATAATAAAATTTGATTGTTTAAGGGTTCCTCTAAGCTTCATGGAGACAAATAAATAAAAACTACTCTTTACTGCCCTATCCAAAGTCACTTTGATGTGTAAGGATTCTTTGACTGAGGAACTATTTTGTTGTTGGAATAATCTTTAGAAGTCGAATCAACTTAAATTGTGGTTCCTATAATTAGTGAGATGATAACATCAATTTAGGGTTTCTGTCTCAACTATCTTGGGATAATAGCTTTAGCTTAGCATCTGAAAGTTATTACTGTCTAGAAAAGTAGTTTTAAAAAAAAATCATGGATAACAATTACTTTTTTCAAAATTCTAGTTGACAAAATTCGTCTATAAATTAGCGATTATTGGCATATGTTAGCATATTCAAAATATTAATGTATAAATCACACTTCGATACTATAAGCAGACCTGTATATATATGTACAACTCCCAACTGCTTTGAGTTATTTAGAACTAGAAAGCTAGGGCAGTTGATAAACTTGATATAATGCACAGCTCAAAACAATGTCGTGCTACTTAGAACTAATATATATAGAAACATAATGGCTGTAGTTGTGACGAGGTTGATGATGCTTGCTTGTCCTATTCCTTATTATAAATGCATGCAACTACATCCTTGACATGGAATGCTGTGTATTTTTGAATTAAGGTTTCTTTTCAGAAGGAATGCTACCTTAAGTAGAGTGGTCTCTTTTCTTCAATCCAAAGCTTAAATGACAGCAAATTACCCTTAAATTAATACATCTCAATTCGACAAAGTATTTATCTCGACTATTTGGATTAGAGTCAGCTATATAAATCTTATTTTTCTATTTTAATCTATTGAGTGTCATATTTTCTATTAAACCGTGAGTTATTATATATTTTTTTAGTATTAGTTCAAAGTTAAAATTCAATCTATCTCTATTTCTCGCATTATCAGTGATATGAATAATAATTACACTTTCTTTCTTATCAATGAACTACTAAGTCTTCTAAAAACATGTGCAAAAAAACTTAAGTTACGTGTTCTTCTTAATCTATCTCTTATTGAGGTTATTTTATATACTAATTTTTAATTTTATTTTTTCTTGTTTTACTATGCATCCATTTTAACATTGCAGTTCTATAATACTTAATTTTTGAACATGTTTTTTTTTTATGACCCAACATTCTATACTGTAAAGAAGTGTGTTAATCGAGACAAACTACTCGGACTCGGTTCAGGTTCGGTTCAAATAAAACTCAACTAAAGTTCAACTCGTGTTCTAAATTAAATAAGCTTGAACAATTTTTCAGACTTGTTTAGAAAAACAAACCTACAAGGCTCGACTCATTTATATGTAAAATAATCGAGTTACTCGAGCTGGCTTCGAGTTTTAAACGAGCCGAATTTGAATAATTTTCTAAGTTCGTTTAAAAAAACAAGCTTAAACACAATATCGCAAAACTTAACTCAATTAACAACCCTTAACCGGAAAACATTGTCGGGGTCATAGTTATATCATAAAATTTAGTTTTCAACCCAAGGAATACGTCAATCAGACAACATACCAGATGCATTTTTCCACCTTGTCCGTATTGCTTTAATTCTACTATTAAAATGGTTCTTAATCTCAGGCCTACGAAAAATTTACCCCAAATATCAAAAGTATTCCCTTTTGATCTCTTAATTTTTAAATTTACTACTCCCTCACATATAAACTTGTATTTGTATTTGAACCCCAAATACAAGTTTATTTCTACTTATCTGGAATCTTTTTATTTCTAAAATTTCTCTCCAACTTCTACTTTATAATTAATTCCTACTTTAATTTCACTAATTTATAATTTATAATATAAAACAAAGCGGCTTCAACAAGCTCATCCTAAGGTCTCAAATTAATTCATCAAACGGTCAAGAAATTATTTCTTTAATATTACCCCCCAATCGGGCAACAATTACGGCTGATCTTGGAACATATTTTATGGTCTCAAATTCATTCATTCGACAGTCAAGAAATTACAATTTTTTTTCCTTAATATTTTCTCCTCCAATCAGTCAACAATTACGACTAATCTTGGAACACAGTATTTTCCCTAACATAATAATTAAATGGGTAAAATTTGTCATTAATGTCACATGTATAGTGTAACATTTGGAATTTTTATAAGACACACAATGATAACATTTTGATTAAAAAAAAACTCATCAATTTAACAAATAAAAAAAAACAAGGGCGGTGCTTAACACATTTATATTGAATATAATTCATTTTAATTTTTTTTATTTAATTAATTTTCTCAAACTAACATGTCTTACCCATATCTTGAATCATTTGTTCAAGACTAATTTTTTTATTTTTTACGAAAATTCAACACTAATATATTCTTATAAATTAATAATTTTGTAATAACTTGTACTATTTAAAAAATAATATTTTATAAATGATATTTGTAGATCTTTTTTTGATAGAAAATATTTTGGAGATGTGCTTTTTGATAAATTGAATTTTTAGTTTGTATTAGATTTGACTCGATTTTGATTATATGTATATAAATTAATATTTTTTTAAGTTAATTCTATCATATTTCATAGATTTATCTATAATATAAAATGTGATAAAAACTTCAATAAGTTAATCTAACGGAGTCAAATAAACTCATTCAATAATTATCAACATCTCTCAATATCATTCAAATTAAATTTTACCTTCTTTTTCACATTATTCGCTCTCTTTCTATGGTAGTGGCAGAGGGAAGAGGGGCAGGAAGGGCCTAGGGTCACCCTAGAAAATATATATATATATATATATATTTAGTTATATATGTTTTATATATTTTTTTGGATATTCTTAATTAGGTCTACTGTAATGATTTATGGCAAACAAAATTAATTGGGTCAAACAAGTTGGGCACTAGAACAAAAAAGCAAAAACAAAAAGTCAATACTAAATTTCTTAAAATTAGTAAACTAAAATTGAATCCTTATGACTCGTTTGGTAATGTTTACAATTTTTGATTTTCTAAAAAATGAAAAACAGAATCAAAAAACGAAAAACGTCTTTTTCTCGTTTTTGAAAATCGGCCCTCGTTTACAAAACGATGATAGAAAAAAAAATAGTTATCAAACCAGTTTTTTTTTCTTGTTTTCTCTAAATATCAAAATAAAAACGAAAAACGAAAAACATAAACATTACCAAACGGGACCTTAGATTATTGGTATGATTTATTGCAACCTTTTTTGGTTAAAAAATTATGGAATATATAGTCAAAAATGAGTAAAATATGAAATTTGTAAGAAGATTAAAAATTATAGAATATTGTTTTTATTTGTGTCAAATAAAATATATAACTGATCCTTTATGTATAAATGTTATCTTATTAATTTTTTTTTCAAACATACCCATTTTATGTTTAATGAATTTTTAAGTATTAAATCCGATATAAAAAATATAAATATATAACATTATTTTTATCTATTAAAAACAAAGTAAAACTTGTATTTAAATTGTATCCACCCTAAATCATATTTTTTGCTCCACCACTACTCTCTAGGATCTTCACTCCTCATTTTTTCTAATTAAACGGTTAATTTATATTATACCGTACATTTAGACACAAATTACCCCTACTAAATGATATATCAGCAAATAATATATTCCATGAAATCCAGTGTCGACTCAACCATATATAATCACGACAAAAATATAAATAGACTTACGGCCGAACCATAACGTAGACAGCATTTATACCCTTAAACACCTTCCGATTCAAAACCTCTGTTTGGCCTTCACAGACCAAATGTCACTGGCAATTTTTTAGTACTTCCAAGTATAAATACACCCTTCCATTGCCAATAATTTCTTCCACCGTGCATCCTTGTAGCATAAGACATTCAACCACGTCACAAAAACATTGACTTGATGAAATTGTTCTATGACAGCAAGGGAACATGGCTTACTGGTATTCATTTCAAACCCTTTCGAAGGGCATAAATATCAAATATGAGGGGCAAAAACCCTACCACCACCCTCATGCAAGTCACATGTATCATCCGCCATCATATTCTCATTCAATAAAAGATCAAATATAATATTTTGATTTTCACATAAGCTCAAAACCCTTTCTGAAAAAGCTCATTTAGTTTCCTTCATATGCTGATGTTACCTTTCCATGAATGAACATGCGCCTCTGAAATCATCGGTGCAAACATTGCAAGATTGGAGCAAGTAGCTAAACATCCACAAACCCAAAAAAGGGTTGAAGGGTTGAAAGTTCAAATACATATATCAGAGGGTAACCAATGTAGAGTTGCATAATGTTATAGTGAGGATGTGTGTGGTGGGGGACACACTATTTGGGATCCAATGGGGTCTATAGCATTTAAAAGCAACATCACATCACGGTTTAGACTGTCAAATAAGAAATTAATTCAACTTCGGAAAGTACAACCATCCAAGAAAGTGTCTAGGACCCTTGCTGCAAACCCTTTTTAGATGATTATCATACTTTCAACTGACCATTGGCTCTGGACTGGAGGTTGACATTAAATCCAGCAGCGAATTCTGGGGCCCCAACTCTTCATGCCACAGTGGAAGGGTGTCACCAGGGTAGAAATTTCTTGCCACTCCCTCCGAATTTATCTGCAGAAGATAAAGAGTTATTGTCATCACAATTGAGCAGAATGAAGACTAAGAAAGACAGACGATGGACACAAGCCATGCTAACCAACTAGTGTATTTTGTTCATTCACTAAAATTCAGAAGGAATGCTGGGAAGCAATTTTGGACGCAAAAATTAAAAACTAAAAAACTCGAATCCTTAAAAACAACACAATGGCATCTGTTCTATAAAAGATCATCAAGCCAAACAAACAACTTGCACAGAGCCACACAGGAAGGAACTTGGAATTCAGAATGCTAGAAATCCTACAGTAAAGATATTTAGCACAAGCCATAACACCCATAATAAGCATCCAGACGGATAGTCAATGCTGAAAAGCAAATTAGATAAACCTTGAAAAAAGGTTCAGAGGCTCAGCACGGGTCTCAAAGCTCCAATCCCATTGGAAGGAATGATTGGTGAGGTCAGCACCTCGGAATTCTCTCGTTACAGTAACCTTAGATGTCCATGTTAGAGCATTCAACATAAAACCAATTGTCAATGAGTGGAGAGGCCCAGCATATAAACCAACCTTGAGTGGTCCTAATCATCCGAAGTGCGATACAATCTCCCTTTAAACCCTCCCTGTCGTGGGACTTAGACTCGCACGTGGGGCTAACAAGCAAACAGACAACCATGAATATTAAAAAATTCAAATGGGTAAGAGACTTAACCCACTGATCAACCATTGTCCAGCTCTGATACTGTATCAGAGCATCCAACTCAAATAATTGAAAATGAGTGAAAAAGCCCTTGAGCAAATAAACCAACCTTGATTGATCCTAACCATCCAGTATGGGATACAAGCTCTCTTTACAATCCATTTTCAAATTCAACCTAAATCTGTTTGTCTCCTCAACAACCAAAAGACCACCTCATTGCTCACCCCAAAAATAATCTCCTTGGGTCCACTATCCTACACATATCCCCTCTTATGGTAGGAGAAGAGCTGTGACAAGCACTCAAACCTCACCCCAAAGTTGAAAATAGAGTACCACTATTGACTAAGACAGGAGGTTGCGAAAGACTTTTGAGTCCTTATGATAAAATAATCCATTGTCATGGCAAACAAAATAAAGCTGTATCATTAAAGTTTGTCAACCATGTCTAAAGCACTACCTTTACTTGGCTTCAGGCTAAGACCAATTACGGTTGTGAATGGATAAATGTAAGTTGCACTATTGAATATAAGCTATAAAAAGTACTCACAGTAACAGTCCGAACAACTCCACCGCTAGCACCATCTCGAGCAATTGCAAGAGAGACTGCCTTCACCACAAATTTCTGCAGGATGAAAACAAATATGTTCAGGAAATGTTCAGCATAAATTCAACCGCACAGAGAATAATGATGGCAAGTACTTAGGATCCAGACTATCAACAGAACAAATTTTGCAAGTGTTTCAACAAAGTCTCCTTATTAAAGTAAAATAGATGTCACCATAACCTTAACTTCTTCATAGCCACACCAATAAATAGCAAGATGATATATTGAAATTTCAAGAGTTATTCTAGTACAAGAAGATTTTGGATATAGGAATTATTGGGAATGTTCAAAAAAAAACCATCGTAGATATGTACATTTGTGCCTGCAAGAAAGGCAGTGCCAACAAATATTGTAGCATAAATTCCAGAAATAAACCCCCACCCCGCCAGATCCAAAAATCCCAATAAAAAAGCAGTAAAGGAAAAGAATTGGAAAATAAATGAAATGAATGTTGCATTCTAGAATCAATGACAAATAATTGGATCACATAAGAAAATTTGAGGTGGATACAATTCTTGAAATATTTCTGGTATGCTCTTTAAGCGGGCAAACATACAGACTATGGGGTACATACCTCAGCTTCATCCTTGGTCATCCCTTCCCTCCATTCTTGGTCGAAAAACCCATACAAATAGGTAGATCCAGATCCTGAATTAACATAAACATCATTATGTATATGCCAGCATTAGATAACAAAAATATCTCTTAGTTGCTCATAGATCAAACAGAAATAAGTTGTTTCGAGAAAAGTAACAATAGAACAAGAGATTCCTTGCCAGTTCAAGCATAAGACACTAAATTGTTTGCCTGACATCTTGGCAATTCTCAAATAAATACAAAAACAGACATGTTTTAATTGATGGATAAATTCCAATACTAAAACAGAAGGATGCAATGTTCGCAAAAAAACACATCTGAAGGACAACACCAGATGTAACTCATAGAGATTTAATAGAATTCACTGAGAATATCCATAACAAAGGCTTACATGAAAAAAAGAATTATGTTGAAATACATTGAGATTAAATTGAACCAAACCACAACATTTTTAGATCTTTATTGTTCATGTACCCACTGTACAACAAATATGATAAGGAAACTCAGCATGTAACTCGTAAGTCTGACAGAAAGCTTTACCAGCAAAGCAAGTGCAACAAGCTTCATATTATTACGAGGAATAAGATGACTGGAAAAAGAAACAGACAACTTGCAAATAACACCACCAAGAAGAAGAATGTCATAAATAACAAATATTAAACAAGAAAAGTTGCAGGGTGACAGAAACATATTCGAATCAGATCAGAAGGCTGACCTCCAATGGCAAAAGGCTGCTCCAAAATTGTTCCTCCAAGAGGCACTCCATATATTTTTCCTCCTTCATACTTGTCCCAACCACCAATAATGAGGCCAGTTTGTAGCATATTCTGTGATGTCGAAATTAATATCGCTAAATTAAAAATCACAAGGTAGGGCATACAGAGGTTAAATACCTACTTTTTAGAATTTTAGCACATTCATAGTACAGATAAAATCTAAGAGAGACATTATCCAACATACAGAATAGATGTACGTTCATACACCAAAGGAAAAGCAAGGCATAGATGCATATTGAAGAAAAAAAAAGAAGATGCAAGGGGTACAGGTTATGAGACAGGCAAGTTCTACTATCAAAACAATCACCAAGACCCAGAAGAATTCACAAAAACCAATAAATCCTACTTTTAGACAGCAATTTATATACCTTAGAAGTCTGAGGAAATTTTAGTTCACACCCCTTGTATATTGTCTTATCTTCGGGCACAACCCTGTACTACTTGAAACATCATTTGCCTTCCCTGTTAGGTTTGGTCGAGTACCTGACGGAACAGAAATATGGTCTCACATTTCTGCCTCCTATTTTTATTTATAAACAATACAAATATACGTAAACACAATAATTAGCACATCAATGAGTGAGAAAGATAGCACCATCCACCACGGTCTAGATCTTCCCCACCCCTACCAATATGCACCAACCACCTACCAAACCCACATCCAACCCCCTTTTATATATAAATAAATACATCCCCATACATATAACTAGGGCATGGCCGGTGATGGATTTTGATTTGAGAGCTAGTGTATGGTGGTGGCATGCTCAACAAGAGCGATGCAGAGATGGCTTTGATCAAGCCGAGACAGGTGCCAGAATCCAAAATTGGAGTAGTTGGCATGTCCAAACTGGTAAAATCAATTGTAGCTTATCTGATTACAACAGCAACTGAGGCAGAAAGGAACCCCGGGCCTAAGCGCGAGGTGCGAAGCAAAGCACAGGTTTCATCGATTCAAGCCACATTTATAAACTATGCTGCAAGTGAACTGAATACAACAAATTTTAGAACATTTATAGCAAATTCAAAGAATATAGCTCATCTAAGCAGCAGGTGATATTATTTCCATTAAAAAAAAAAACCAAATTACAAGGGAAAAAAGAAAACCAAGGCATCTTGTGGCCTACCACACACCAAAGCTCTGAAATGCAACAAAGTTTAGAGAATTTCTGGCAAATACAAAAATAAGGCTGATCTAAACAACAGATACAATAATATGCTCTAAACAAAAAGTAACTTGCAGGAAAATACAATATATATACAACTCATTTTAACTAATTTTATCCAGTAAAGAACAAAATAACAATGAGATTCCAAGCAACATTAATCACCTTTAGCATCAAATTTTCCATAATAAAAAATAAATATTATCCAAGATACAGTCATCCTAAAGCCAATTTCAACACAAACTTTTGTACTGTGAGTTAGATTAGACTAAATCTGCAATGTCAGGTAGAGTTTAGGGTCAGAATTCAATACTAATACTTGGATTTCTAATTTGTTGTTATGTATATCCATTATACCAATCAAAGTATAATATCAATGGCCCAAAATAACAATGAAGGGAACAAAAAAGGCTCACACTTCTTGCGCCTTGGGCTTAAGATCAAGGCAAAAGCCTCATGCGCCACAGCCACGTTCTCAGGGAAGGTGTGCCTCACCTTGCTTCGAGCCTAGGCCCATGCCTAGGTGCACTTTTCACTACACTATTGGTTGAAATCAAAAGATCTAGGGTTTAGAAAGGGAAAGAGGCAAGAGAGAAGACAAGAAAGAGATTAGGATTAAGGAGAGTGAAAGTTAACCTGCCTCTCCTCTCATTACCCATATTTATATTAACTAATAATAAAATGAGGATTACAACAATAGCCTCAATTAAAATAACCTAACATTTGACACTCCCCTTCAAGTTAGAGCATAAATATCTCTGATACCTAACTTACATACATCTGAATGAAAAATTCTACTATTAACCCCCTTAATAAACACGTCAGCTAGTTGTTCACACATATGACATACAAATCAGCCCATCATTTAGCTTCTCTTTAATGAAGTGTGTGTCAATCTCAATATGTTTTATTCTGTCATGTTGAATGGGTTGTGAACAATATTTATGGCAACCTTATTATTACAATACAGGCACATAGGCTCATCATTAGTGACACTCAAACCTTTCACTAAGGTTTTCAACCACATAAGCTCACAAATACCATGAGTTATAACCTTGTATTCTGCCTCTGCACTAGATCTAGTCACCACTACTTACTTTTTGCTCTGCCAAGAAATTAAATTTCTTCCTACAAAAGTAGGATACCCTATAGTGGACCTTCTATCCTTAATTGAACCTATCCAATTTGCATCTGTAAAAACTTCTATTCTCAAATGACATTACTTTGAGAACAATATTCCTTTCCCAGGAGATGATTTGAGATACATCAATATACAATGAAATACCTCTTGATGAAGAGCACACGGAGCATGCATGAATTCGCCAACACTCACTACATATGCTATGTCTGGGCAAGTTTGAGAATGGTATATAAGTCCTCCCAACAAGCCTCTGATTACTTCTCAGTTTGTGATTTGTCTCAATAGGTGAGGTAGCACGTTTACAACCTACCATGTCGATTTCCTTCAAGAGATCAAGGATATACTTCATCTATGAGATGAAGATGCATTTATCTGACCTAACCACTTAAATCCTTAAGAAATAGCGTAACCGCCCCAAATCATTAATCTCAAATTCTTTAGCAAGGTGGACTTTCAGTTTGACCACTTCCTCCACATCATCACCTGCGAGTATTATGTCATCAACATATAATATAAGAACTAAGATCTTATCACTCCCTTGTTTGATGAATATAGTGTTATTTGCATGACTTTGCGTGAACCCAAACTTGACCATTACCTAAAGAAATCTCTAAAATCAAGCTCTAAAAGGCTGCCTAAGTCCATAAAGAGAATTCTTTAGCTTACAAACTTTTTCATGCCTCTAGAGAAAAAAGCCTCGAAGGAATATCCATGTACACTTTCTCCTCTAAGTCCCCCGTGAAGGAATACATTCTTTACGTCCAATTGTTGTAAATCCCATCTCAGATTGGCAACACATGAAAGTATGACACGAATAGAATTCATCTTCGCCACAAAAGCAAATATCTCCAGATAGTCAATGTCATATGTCAGAAGAAACCCCTTAGCTACCAACCTTGCATTGTATCTATTTATCGTGTCATTTGCATTCTGCTTGACAGTGAAGACCCACTTACATCCTATTGATTTCTTCTAGCTAGAAGAGAGAAAAGCTCTCAGGTTTTATTCTTTCACAAGCTCTTATTTCTTCTACCATGACTATTTTCCACTTGGATTCTGCAAGGACTTTATTCCAATTCTGAGAAAGGGATATGGAAGACAAAGACGCAACAAAAGTACGATAGGAAGAAGACAAAGAGTCATAAGAAACAAATTCCAAAATAAGATGTTAGATACAAGTCCAAACTCCTTTTTGAATCGAGCAATACTACATGAACTTAAAAACTAGACTTAAAAATTAAACTTGATAATTACAACCAGTGTTATTTAAGGCGTAAAGCGAACCGAAACGACCAAGACTCCTAACGCCTAAACGAGAAGCGAGAAGCGAAGCGAAACAATTTACCGAAGCAAAGCGAACAGTTAAAAAAATAAATAAATATTTTAGTTTAATTACTTATACACATCTAAGTTCTAATTTTATATATACTAAATATTTAAAATCAAATAAAACCATAAACATTTAAATTAAAACAAACACTAATAATATCTTAAATTTTAATAACAGTCATAGTTTAAACATTTAAATTCAAATAAACACTAATAATATCTCAAATCTTAATATTTAAAAACATAAGACACACAATTCAAACAACTAAAGAAACTATCTCAAGGACTTAGAAATCAATCTAGCGAGCAATAAGTTGTGCTTAAAAAAAAAAAGTAATATTGTTCACATTCACATGACTTTTGTGTGGGATCTTCATATGGACTAGACAGCAATACAAGGAAAAAAAGAAATATTGTTCAGAGTATTGATTATCAGAACAAAAAAAAAAATGTGATCAGAAAAATTAAAAAAAAAAAAGCATTGGTGAGGAAGGAGCAAAAGACAGAACATGAGATCAGAAAAAAAAAAAAAAACAACAGAATCGATGAGGAAGGAGACTAATAGACAGAAGAAAAAAAGAGAAGAAGAAGACTAACATGTCGATCCTGTAGGAGTAACGAGCAACGAGCTTCTGTCGATCGATCGAGTTCAGCAAGCAGCAACAGAGGCTCTGTCGATCGATCGAGTCCAGCGAGCAACGACAGAGAGCCTCTGTCGATCAAGTCCAGCAAGAAACGAGCTTCTTTGTAGCAACGAGCTTCGAGCTTCTGTGTAGTCCTCCTGAGCAACGAGCAACTAAGGGCATAAATTAGAGGATAAATTAGGGTTTGTGATTTTATTTATTAGATAAGGGGATAATTCGGTGTATCTCATCTTATAATTTTTTTTTTTCCAATCGCCCAATCCAACGGTTCAAATTAAAAATCAAACATTTCTCGCTTTTTATAATAAAACGAACGCTTTTTCGCTTTTTTCTCGCTTCGCTCACGTTTGCTTCGTCTGGAGTCCTCCAAACGAGATATGCTCGCCTCGCCTTGCTTTTCTTCTAGGCGAGCTTTTCACAATACTGATTACAACCATTGATTTCACTATGGATCCGAGTCATAGTTGTTAGTATCGTACGATACACAATACGTATCGTATGATACGTTACGATATAGGCCTAAAACAATACGGATCGTAATTATGTATCGTTTTTGTAGTGTATCGTCTGATATATGATACATTTTTACGATACGATACGTATCGGTACGATACGTATCGGTACGATACGCACAATACATACAATTTTTTTTTTTTAAAACGACGTCGTTTTGTGCTCTGATTTTATTTTTTTTAATCCCTATAACCACTGAAACGACGTCATTTTAGTGGTTAGGGTTACAAAAAAAAATAAAATCCCTCATTTCTCTCATATTCAGCCTTCGCTCATCGTTGGTCAGAGACTTAGAGGTTTCTCTTCAGCCATCGACGACGAATGATTGACTGTGGGTGGTGATCGTTGTGGGTGATCTTCGATTGTGGGTGGTGATCGCTGTGGGTGGTCTTTGACTGTGTGGGTGGTCTTTGACTGTGGGTGATTACTGGTCTTCGACTGTGGGTGATTGCTGGTCTCCGACTGTGGGTGATCGTTGATCGCTGCCTTCTTCCTTCTCCAGGTACTCCTTTTTCTTCTTCTTCCCAATCTCCATTGATCGTTGGTCCTGTGTAGTAAAAAATGATGTTAATTTATTTACAAAGCCAAATGTATATATATTTTTTTTGTATAAAAATTTTTGAATCTTGATTAATTTTAAATTTGTGAAACAGTGGCATCACCTGCATCCAATTTTCATATAGAAATGACGAAAAAACTTACTAATGATCCCACATGGGAACATTGTGACAAAGTAGAAGGATCAAGGTTGAAATTGAAATGCATTCATTGTGCAAATGTCTATTGGGGAGGCATTTCAAGAATGAAAAATCATTTGGTAGGTAATTGCAAAGATATAGCAGCGTGTAAGCATTGCCCTGAGGAAGTAATTGAATTTTTTAAGCAATTATTGGATGATAGGGCAATTAGCAAAGATATGAGTCTTATGGATTCGAAAAGTAGTGGCAGTGTGGGTAGTACTACTGCTGATAAAATACAACTAACCACCACAATTACTTTGAATACCATGTTGAAGAAAAAGGGTAGAAAAGATGTATGTTTCGATATTTGTAGATGGTTTTATGCTAATGCCCTTCCTTTTAATTTGGTAAAGGATCCATATTTTGTAAGAATGTTAGAATCTGTTGCATCGTTTGGCAAGGGATTGAAACCTCCATCGTATCATGATGTGAAATGTTCTTTTTTGAAAAAAGAAACAGATTTGATTAATGGTGGGTTGATAGAAAATTATAAAGCAGAGTGGAGAAAAACGGGTTGTACTCTT